TTACCTTTACCTATAGTACATCTAAAAGTCACCAACTGCACAAGGCTGAAGTAGGCATATACTTGTTGAATGTTGTTGTGTAAGTACAGTGTTTCAACTTCATAAACAAGATTTTATTCATAAATATCACTTTGTAAACAAGATTTTATTCATAAAGTTTGAAATTGCAATGCAGACCCATTTTTACTGAAAATAAGTCCAGCTTCTAAGAAATAAACAACTATTAAAAGCATAATGATAGCAAAAGAAATTTAATTTTACACTTAACATTAAGTGCCTTACTTGTTTCTTTGTTTTAAATATTTTCATTTAAAGTTTCAAAAGTGGCAACTGATTTGAAAAAGTCATTATATCATCCTTCCTTCCATATAGTCCATAGTTTACTTTGCAGAAAATAAACTAAGGTGCTCCAAATATTAGTCATCAGATTAATGAAATAAAAGTCATGTTTGCTTTCAGTGCATCATGATAACACACTGGCACTGAAATCTTTAACAATACAAGGTTATTGCAACTAATGTACACAAATCTGCGCCTATACTACTAATACAATCCATTTCATTTCCCTCTCTTTTCTTTCACCCAATTGTACCATAAATTCCAACATTTGTAATAATCAGAATCTTTTTGGTTCCTAAGTAATTTATGTACATATATACATAACCTTGTATGTATATATGTAAAGTATTGTATTTTTAAAAATGAAAATAAACTTTATTTAAAAAAAAAGAAATCTTCTTTAACAAGGGACTAAGACTATCTTCAGTAAGTTTTGGTTAAACTTTTAATCAAATGTTTGACTTTTATTTGACTCTAAAATCTGTTTTTAATATTTTGGCCTACTTTTCAGAGGTACAAAATATTTGAGAAATAAATCCACCAAAAATTAATAGCAGCTTATTTCCTCAGCGCAAATGTATTTATTTCATAAAAAAGTAGGCAGGGGAACAGTATACTGTGTATATCCCTTGATATACCTCAAGATAATTGGTGTGTTAAAAAAAAAGAAATCACTCCATTTTTTGAATCTGAAACCAGGGGTGCCCCTTCCCAGGGAGGGAATATAAGTCAGCACTCTGGTATAGGGGTCTCCAACTTTGGCAACTTTAAGCCTAGAGGACTTCAACTCCCAGAATTCCCCAGCCAGTTTTGCTATTTGATAGGAATATAGGAATGGTTGGATATGTGCAGCCGGGATCTCTTCAATTCTGGGAGTTGAAGTCCGCCAGGCTTAAAGTTGCCAAGGTTGGAGACCCTGCTCTGGTATATGAGCAAGTCTCCAGAAGTCCTGCTTTCCCTTGCCCCAAACTCATAGGTAGTTTCAATGGTTCCAATATGTTGGACATTTCAGGAAAAGAGGTTTAAGAAAAGAAGCTAGGCATCTTAATGGCATTATAATTATAAAAAGTACCATTGTATCATGCAGTGGAATACAAATCCATAACCACAGCAAGTAAGATGTCTGCAGGTATGGTAAAAAAAAATATGGCTATCAAAGCTTCATTTCTTTCTTTCTTTCTTTCTTTCTTTCTCTTCCTTCCTTTCTTTCTTCCTTTCTGACTAAATTCTGTGAAACAAACAAGACAAATAATGGCGATCCTAAGGACACTCTGATACCTTGTGAAATAGCTAGTGAATATTGCCTTTATTTCTACAAGTCTCCGTTCAGACATACTAGGCTGTCAAAGTTGTCAATAGACATATGAAATAGGACTTAAAAGTACCATCCTGTATATGTTTTCTCCAAAATATGCATTACTGTGTTCTTTCAGGATGTTTTCTTAAGAAAGCTTGCATATATAGCAGTGGTGGAATTCAATTTTTTTTACTACCAGTTCTGTGGGTGTGGCTTGGTGGGTGTGGCTTGGTGGGCGTAGTAGGGGAAGGATGCTGCAAAATCAATATTCCCTCCCCACTCCTGGGAGAAGGATATTGCAAAATCTCCATTCCCACTCCACTCTGGGGCCAGCCAGAGGTGGTATTTGCTGGTTCTCCGAACTACTCAAAATTTCCACTACCAGTTCTCCAGAACCCGTCAGAACCTGCTGAATTTCACCCCTGATAGATAGGATTATAGCATCAACATACTCAGTAAACCTATTCTTTCACCTCAGACTTGGTAGCCCTTTGTTAGAAAAGAAGTTTCCCTCAGCACAGAGGCAGACCAATTGTTTCAACCAATCATCAAAAAGAAGAAAAGGAAGGTACCTCAAGATACAGATCAGTATGCCATGACTACCTTAAGAGCCTACTGAGCAGATCATAAAGAAATCTGTAAGCAGTTTTTAAAAATGTGATAATTACCAGAAGTCAGCATGGGTTTGTTAATAAAGAATAATATTGCCATCTAATCTAATCTTTTGAAGGAGCAACCTTCAGTGATAAATTGTGGGAACCTTTTAGACATTCACAGAAATACTTCAGTGTAGTATTTCCTGTAAGGTAATGAAATTAATCAGGAGAACAGAAATTGAGCCATCTGAAGAACAACCAAAGGAACTTAATATGTTTAGCCTTGAAAAAAGATAACTGAAAGAGAGAGGATAGATTATAGAATACAATAGAATTCTTTATTGGCCAAGTGTGATTGGACACACAAGAAATTTGTCTTGGTGCATATGCTCTCAGTGTACATAAAAGATACACTCGTCAAGAATCATAAGGTACAATACTTAATGATAGTCATAGGATACAAATAAGCAATCAAATCATATTAGGAAACAATCAATATAAATCGTAAGGATACAAGCAACAAGGTTGCAGTCATACAGTCATAAGTGGGAGGAGATGGGTGATAGGAATGATAAGATTAATAGTAGTGCAGACTTAGTAAATATTTATTTATTATTCAACTATCTGAAACAATATCACGTAGAAACAGTCCAGGGCTTGTTCTCTTTTATTTCAACATACAAGACACTGTGTATTTAAGTGCGCTATTATACAAGAAAACACACTACAGCTGAATAATACCAGCACCTCACCCAGATCTCAACATTAACAGCAGACCTGTGGTGGAACCAATTACTAAGAGAGGTAGTGAATTCCCCTTTACTGAATATATCAAAGGAGAATATCAGGAGACACATGTATGGATCATTTAATCTGTATCCCTGCCCTGAGTAGGCATTTGGATCAATCAGCCTAAACAGGCTTTTCAATAATTCCTGAATGTGTCAAGTGCTGTGCTGATCCCCAAATTGACAGGCCTTAGGTATTTCTGGAACAGCAACTGCTTACCTGGGCTAAGAAATGACAGAGAGCAATAAGACAGAATTCTGCTCACATGGGCCTATCACAGCACACCTGGGCCAAAAAACTGGTGAACCTCTGGTCAAAGAACCAAGGAGCTATCCCATCTCTGGTCTGATCAACCCAGTGCTGGGTTTCCCAATTCAAGAAACATCTCCTTCCAGCATTCCCCTTCCAGCTGTAGATCTCAGAACAACTTCACTTTCATGATAGAGCAGCTTGGAACTTACCAGTTGGAGGCGCAGAGATCTGACCTTCTCCAAAATCAAATCTTTGGTGCTCTTTGAGTTTGGTTGTTTGCTTCCAGACGTTTCCAGACCATGTAATGTCTTCCATGCTAGAAGGGCTTGCTGTCTGTTAATGAAACATTGCAAGCAAACAACCAAGCTCAGAGAGCACCAAAGACTCCACAGTTCAACCCTGAGCTATATAACATATATTCTCTTCTACTGGCCCCTTCAAAGTGTCATTGCAAGGATCTGCCAGTAGTCCAACTATGCTATTCCTTCACCAATAAAATGACATTGGCAACTTTGGCCCAACAAGAGCAAGCATCACCCTTAATTATGTGGGGATAGTCCTCTATTTGCCTAGATATCTGATTCTGGGTTGATTCTTTGAAAGCCAACTGAGTTGGGCATGCATCCTACAAATAGGGAAAGCAGCCTTGCCAGCAACATTCAGTTCCTGTCACTTCCTGTCAATGGGAAAGGACCACAAACACGCAGGGATGACTCTCGTGCATTTCTTCTGATTTTGACCCCTAACAAATTTACCCCAGGCAAACTGTAGCTTTGGAACACATCGCCTGGAAAGGAAGTCCCATCAACTGAGGAGGTTATCCCCAGATGACTGCTCCCTAGGCTTACCTGGGAGTAGAAACAGAGATAGAGTTCCCACAACGCACATAGTCTGACTAACTGGATTAAATCACATTTGATTGGGACAAGATATTGAGCCATAAACTAACCACCACGTCACAAAGTTAGAACAACCACCGTTTAGCCAACATATTGTGCAAACCCATCAAACGACACCATTCTGAGCAAAGTGCACTAGGTACACAGAGCCAGGGCCAAGCAATCTAGTTAAACCCTTGTTCCTTTGCGGAAATGGGTTTAAAATACAGGCCTGTTAAAAGACATCTGAAAAACCAGAGACTTTGCTAAACTTCTTGCATTCAGCAATGGGGGGCTGCTGCGCGGGAAAAAAATGGCAGGAGGGAGGGAGGAGGAGGAAGAGCAACTGATAAAAAAAAATCCCATTACGGAACAGACTGCGGAGGGGACGGGACCCTTTTCGTTTTACTGGCTGCCTTCATACAACACGTTTAACCCGGTTCTCGGATTTTCCGGATTCACACAACTTCCCAGGCACCGTGGACACGGGACCTCTAAAAGTAACTAAATTGACGTGTTGAAGGACGTTAAGCTCTTCGCTTAAGCCCAACCGGGGGAGGTGGGTGGTCCTATTTGGAGCTCACCCAGGGCCAGAATAGATCATCGACGGAGGCTCTGGTTTCAATTCTCCCCTCCCCAGATACAAACACGCGTCTTTTAGCCAGGCTCGTTGGCCGAGGGTGAGGCTCCTGCACAAAAGCAAGTTCCTTCAGGCAGGAACCCCCCCCCCCCCTCTCACCACCCCCCCCCTACCCCCCCCCCTCCTTCCCCCCCCCCCCCCCCACTCTCCCCTTCTCTCCCCGCCAGGACGTGCCCCCCCTCCGTCCTCCCAGGCAGTCGCCCCCTTACCTGGCTGTACTTGGTCTCGTGCTCGAGGGAGCCCTTGTCCAGCCCGTTCACCGCAACGTGCTGGGCCGTGAAGCCGCTTCTGCTCAGGCTGCTCCACTCTTCCACCTTGGGGCTGTGATAGGGCGAGCTGTCGCTCACTGCGGGCAAACACACGACAAAGCGGAGTGAGGGGCGCGGCTTTCCTCTCTCGCCCTAGCCGCTTCCGAAGCGAGCCTTCTCCCTGGAGCCAAAACTATGGGAAACCCTTAAGAGCCGAGGCGGGTTTCTGCCTTGAGGAAAGGACGGGCGCCCTGAGAGCGGGGCACCTGGCTTGCCCTGTGGAGCTCTCCCGAGGGAGGGAGGGAGGGAGGGACCCTGGCACCCAGTCCTGCCCGCCTTTCCTTGGAAGTAAAGGCCTTTCCTTGGCCTGGCAGCTTCGACGTCCGACAGACTCGGCTGCTTCTCTCGGGATCTCACTTGCGTGATCCTTGGGATCAATCAGATGTAGGGTGCATTCAGAAAGTACTTGGATCCCCTTCGTTTTTGTTAATTTTGTTATGCTGCAGCCTGATTGTACCGTTGTTGAAATTCATTTATTTTTCTCATTCATCTACACTCGGTACCCGCCCCCCCATAACGACAAAGTGAAAACGGAAGTTTAGCAACGTCTGTAAATTTATTAAGAAAAAAAAAACTGAAATATTACATTGGCATCAGTATTCAGACCCTTTGCAACAACACTTGGAAATTTAGTTCTGGTGCCCCCCCCCCCCATTTCTCTCGATTGTTGCTGACATGTTTCTACACCTTGATTGGAGTCCACCTGGGGTAAATTAAATTGGACACGATTTGGAAAAGCACACACCTCTCTATAGAAGGCCTCAAAGCCTGTAACAGAGCAAAAGCCATGAGGTCAAAGGAGCTCATGCCTGCAGAGCTCAGAGACAGGATTATGGCAAGGCACAGATCTGAGGATGGCTACAGTAAAATTTCTGCTGCACTGAAGGTTCCTAAGAGCACAGTGACTTACATAATTCTCAAATTGAAGAAGTTTGGCACAAATTTCCAGGACTCTTCCAAGAGCTGGTCACCCTGTCAAACTGAGCAATTTGGGGGGGGGGGGGGGAAAGGACCTTAGTAAGAGAAGTGAACAAGAACCTGATAGTCACTCTGACTGAACTCCAGAGAGCCCGTGTGGAGATGGGAGAGAGATCCAGAAGGACAACCATCATTGCACCCCTCCACCCATCTGGATTTTATGGCAGAGTGGCTAGACAGAAGCCTCTCCTCGGTGCAAAATACATGAAAGGCTCCTTGGAGTTTGCAAAAAAGCACCTGAAAAACTCATACTGTGAGGAACAAAATTCTCTGGTCTGATGAAACTAAGATTGAACTGTTTGGCCTCAATTCTAAACGTTATGTCTGGAGGAAACCAGGCACCGCTCATCACCTGCCCAATATCACCTCAACAGTGAAGCATGTGGTGGCAGCATCATGCTGGGGGGGGATGTTTTTCAGCAGCAGAGACTGGGAGACTGGTCAAGGTTGAGGGAAAGCTGACTGGAGCAAAGTACAGGGATATTCTCGATGAAAACCTGTTCCATAGCGCTCATGCCTCGGACTGGGCCAAAGGTTCACTTTCCAACATGACAAGCACACAGCCAACACAACACAGGAGTGGTTTAGGGCAGAGCAAAGCTGGCTGGGGAATTCTGGGAGTTGAAGTCTGCCAGGCTTAAAGTTGCCAAGATTGGAGAGCCCTGGTTTAGGGACTTCAAGAGAGTACTGAGTGAAAGATCTGAATACTTATGCCAATACGATATTTCAGTTTTTTTCTTTTTAATAAATTTACAGACATTTCTAAAATTGTGTTTTCACTTTGTCATTATGGGATACTGAGTGTAGAATAATGAGAAAAATGAATTTCAACAACTGTAGAATCAGGCTGAAGCATAACAAAATTGACAAAAGTGAAGAATACTTTTGATATTGAATACTTTCTGAATGCACTGTAATCTCCTTCGAACCAAGTTTGCACCACTGAAAAAAATCCTAGTGGGGGAAGGAGACTCCGAGGTGGCCAAGGACACTTTTGATAGTGCGAATTAATACTTTCAAAAGCACTAATACTTTTGAAGGTGCGAATTAGACTTTTTTTTAAAAAAAAAAAAAAAGATGACTTTAGTTCGCCTTCGGAACTCTACTCCTACCGCCTAAACTTTTTGCCCACTATGAAACTAAGTTTGCTTGAGACTGCTATCTAATTGAAATAATGCATCGGGGATAAGAGTTTTGGAGAGTCACGAATAACTCAGTAGTTTGGAAGGCTCTGCAACCCCATTCACAGGTGCAACCAGACTGTAATGCTTGTTTTGAAGTAACCCGAGCGGTTCAACAAAGGACACTCCCAGAGAATCCGGCCATTTCCTCGCTAGTGATTTATAGCGGCGCTTCACGCTGTCCCCATTATTGTTACATCAAAATAGCGATTGATTAAATTGAGCCTTCGCAAGTCTTCAAAAATCACTAATGGGAAATGACTTCCAGAAACTGTAGGACTTGCACAAACTGAACAAAAAGCCCCTTTTCGTCAAAAGTGAATCCTCCTAATTTCAGGGAAGCTTTCTGTGGACTAAATAAACCCATTTAAGTAAGATTATAGCTTCGGTGGGATTTGTTTCATTACAGTAGCGGTTTTGGTAGTGACCTTAAGTACCTCGGATCTCAAGCTCCTGAAGTGGGTTACAAACTACAGCTGGGATATCCTTAAGTAAATCGATCTATTGAACTTTAAAGTTATAAAGCGCTGATGCCACTCCAAGTTTTTAAAAAAGAAACCCGAATAGGTATGAAAGCAATCAGCTTAAAAAACAGAGTACAAAAAGATAATAACAGCAGGTAATTCTGGAGTCTGGGGGCAGCTGGCTGACTGAGATATTCCTAAAGCGATTTGAAGTAGACAGACGAAGGTTGCTACTTGCAATGGCCAGCAATAAAATCGTCCCTTCTTCCACAGATTAAACGAAAAAGGCGTTCGGTGTGCGTGAGAGAGAGAGAGAGAGAGAGAGAGAGAGAGAGAGAGAGAGAGAGAGAGAGAGAGAAGGAGAGGCATTCTGAACAGAAGCGCCCCCCCTTTGAGTTCCAATCAGTCCTTGAACTCGACCTAGATCCCTTCCGAAAGGAAATATTTTGTGCTGGGAAGGGGGGGGTGGGAAGGGAGCGGACGCTGAGGGTCAATCAAAGAAATCAAGAAAATCCTGCCGGCCGCCAGCCTGCACGCCCTCCCCGCGTCGTCCCCCAAGCTAAAACGGACAGTCTCTGAGGCTGGGATTCTGTGCTCTCATTAACGCCCGCGAAGCTCGACTTCAGAGCTCCGAGCTTCATTCTTCTCACCCCAGCACTCAAGCTAATTCATCCCGAACGCTGGGAAAAAATAAGCCAGGTTCGTGCAATCCATAGGGCCACTTCCAGCAGGTCTCTTACCTGGAGGTTTCAATCCCCCCCTTTATACAAATTCTTCATTTTTCCGCTTTTCCTTTGAAACCCAAGGAAGCTTTAAAACCGCGCTAATGCTCCCGGATGGGAATTTGATCGTGGCTGGGTTAAAAAAAAATGACTTGCATGTTCTTAAATGTAGGCATGTTTTAAAACAATTAAAATCTCCAGCCGCTTAGTCTTGGGTGCATTGTGGGAGGGGAGGCATGTAGTTTTTCATTAGTTTGGTGGGAAACCGGGCTGGCCTGCTTTTTCTGGTCTCCAAAAAATTCAGGTATACTGAATTCTTGCCCAGAGAAACTAAATTTGATTCAGTTTAATGTCTAAGTGTCACCCATCGGCCACCTGGGTTTAATCACTGCTGGGCTTAACTGCCCTCTTTATATGTGTGTGTGTGTGTGTGTGTACAATTCCCATTTCCTTCAATGGAAGGGACAGGAAGTTATTTTCCCAAAATATAGCATACCCTCCTGCTGAGGATGTATTACCTACGGGAGGTTTTTTTATTATTATTATTATTTTTGCAAGGCCTCCAAAGCTACCTGTTAGGCCAAGGAGAGTTGGGGAGATTGTTCAAATATTCCTCTGTGTTTCTGCCCGCATTCCTGTCCTGAATTGTTATAAAGAAGAGGGGGGGGAGGCGTCAATCTATTCTCCAAAGCACCTGAACGCAGGACAGGAAGTAGCCAACGGAAACTTATCAAGGAGAAATTCAACCTAGAACTAAGAAGGAATTTCTTCTTGACCAAAACAATTAATCAGTGGAACTTGCCTTCAGAAGTTGCCGATGTTCCATCACTAGAAGTTTTTAAGAAGAGATTGGACAACCCTTTGTCCTACTACAAAGAGCCTGTAGTACAGTGGACTAAAGCACTGTATTTAACATCTGCTGCTTGCAATTACTGCAAGTTCAAATCTCACCAGGCTCAAGGTTGACTTAGCCTTCCATCCTTTCAAAGGTAGGTGAAATGAGGACCCAGATTGTGGGGTCAATAAACTGAATTGTATAAATATACAAAAGTATGAAGGCTATTGCTTAACGCAATAGCGCAATTCTCAACCTGTGGGTCACGACCCTTTTGGGGGTCGAACGACCCTTTCACGGGGTCGCCTAAGACCATAGGAAAACACATATTTTCAATGGTTTTAGGAATAATTTTATGGTTGGCGGTCACCACAACATGAGGAACTGTATTAAAGGGTCACGGCATTAGGAAGGTTGAGAACCACTGGCTTAACGCATTGTAAGCCGTCCTGAGTCTCCGGAGAAGGGCGGCATATAAATTAAAGCAAAAAAGAAAAATGGTAAGGTCTCCTGCTTGAGCAGGAGGTTATACTAGAAGATCTCCAAGGCCCCTTCCAGAATCTGCAATTCTGTTATTCTCCAAATACCACTTTCCATTAAATAAAGCCGTTTGAGGGGAACAGCCCTGAGAAACATATCTATCTCCCTAATACCCTTACAGAGACTGTGGTTTCATGCCTGGCTTGACATTTTTCCAGTTCAGTTCAAGTGGGTTTTAGGAGGTCCACCTGGCATAGGTGGAGGGAAATTTTAGTCTACGGAGGAGTTGAATTTATAGCAAGCAAAGGGAGACGGAAGCCTACAGAGAATTTCAAACAACTGGAGCCTAATCACGTTATGCAGCGAAATTAAATTTATTGCGGATAATCCTAAAAAGCTAAAAGAAAAGAGCTGGCCTGCCGCCTGCTGCGCAGTTGCCAACATCTCTGTTTCTTCCCCGAGTTCCCACTTATTTCATCCTAGCACGAAAAGAGGAAAAGGCGACGGAATTTTTTTTAAAAAAAACCCAATGCGGTTGAAATTGGCCTCCTCTTCTCGGGCTGCCAACCAGCGGGCAGTTCTGCTGACTCCTGGCGCCATTATTTCTCAAATAAAAGATGGGAAGATACATTTAAAAAAAATAAAATAAATAAAAAGATTCTTGAGGGCGAGAGAAGTAGAAACGTAGAAGCCATTCTCCGAATTGACTCCTGTTCTGAAACTCTCCCTCTGACCTGCAACATGTGCGTGCAAACACAGGCTCGTTCACACACACGCACAATACCCGTTGACACGTACATTCAGCTTACTAGGGCGATCTGTCTTCCAATTGTACTACTCTTTCAGGATTAGGCAGGGAGATTCCGCTGAAACCAATGGATTGTGCGTGTCCCAAGTAGGAGCCGGCAGTGGCAATAAGACGAGAGGAAGGAAGGTCCTCTGAGTTTCCGCCGATCCACGCTACCCAGCGGCTGCCCCCGATCCTTCACCCGGCGGGACCCAGAAGGCTGCGCAGCCCAGGGCAGTGGCCTTAACCAGATCTGCGAAGCCTGGACTGTGTGATCGAGCTTTAGGCAGTCGGGAGGGAGAAGCCTTTGAGAGGCCAAGCGAAGACGGCTCAGGCGGACCTCAAAAGGCCTGCACAGCCAACGCCAACCAACCCCGTGCGCTCCAATGGCCTCGGAGCCGGGCCTGCCGCGTTTCTCCGTCGGTTCGCGGCCGAGCAGCGGTGGCAGGCCCAGGCCGGAGCCTGCCTGGGAGAGCCGTCTCTGGCGACCTCCCTTCCCCACGAATAGGGCTTCCTTTCTGCGGCAGCAAGGTCAATTTAACCAATAAATCAAACCCGAACTGCCTCGGGTCAAGCTTCGCGCAGCAGAGGCGGGAGACCGGGTGTGGGGGGGGAGGGCGAGCTCGAAGACAAACCCAATGCCTTTCTCTCTCCCCCCCCTCCCCACCGTTCGCGGGCCTCCTACCCAGAGAGGTGGCCTCGACCCCGGGGGGGGGGTTAATAAACACGGAAATCAGGCCAACTCGCGCTGCTTCTCCGGCCGCCTGCACAGCCCCCCACACCCCCCCCGCCTCCCACGCGCCCTCTGTGCACAACGATCCTAGCAGATGTTCCCGTCACGCCGGACCAAAAGGCAGGGGACGCTTGCAAGCAGCGCCCCGGGAAAGGGAATTGGGCAGCCCGAGGCATTTTGATGTGAGTCTCGGTTTTATAAAAAAAGAAAAGAAAAAGGATTTGGAAGCAGAGGCTTCTTTCATTGGCAACGATAAGGCATGTGCATTGCAGGCTCCTAACGTTATTGTTTGTGTGAGCACATACCACTACGTCTCTCGCACAAACTGTGTGTGTGTGTGTGTGTGTGTGTGTGTGTGTGTGTGTGTGTGTGTGTGTGTGTGTGTTGCAAGCCAGCATTTCAGGCCAATGGGCAACTGTATTGATCTCGCCCGCTTTTACGTTTTCTGAAATGAAGTCAATTCGGATCCATGGGGCTGTAGAATCGAGGCCTTTAACGTGCGGCCGTGCCTATTGCACGGTACTCGCCGCTCCGGGCAATCCGGCTAAGCCTCCCTTAACTGCCCGTCTGGAATTCCGCAGCGAAGTCGGGAGAGGCGGGCGGGCGGGCCTCGGAAGGGGCTTAAAAACGCAACTTAAAACATAGGCCGTTTCAGTTTTCTGGACCACCGCTTCGGAGCACAACAAAGTGAAGCAGGAGAACGAAAGCAATTAGGTGACATTTGAACTTCCTGTCTGAGCAAATTTGCCCTGATTGCGAGAACTGGAGAAAGACTTGCCTGCAATTCCGAGGAGGTGCCTTTGCCCACAGAAGCTCTGACTTGAGAGCAAATATCAGCACAAAAGCCTGGCAGAGAAAAAAGTAAATATACTCGAACGGGGATTATGTGTGTTTCTGTTGCTTAGGTATGCTGAACTATTCTGGTAGCCAAAAGAACTTGGCCATGAAAAGTTTAGCTGTGTTTGTTCCTCCCTGGAATAAATTGTGTGATTATTCATGTTTATTGTATGTGTATGTGTATGTGTGTGTACATACATGCACGCACGCACACACACATGTATGCCTTGGGAAGAGACCTCTATAATTCACAAAAGCTACTAACACAATAAAAAGGTTAATGTTAAAAATGCCATTGGATTCTTTAATGTTATATAATTGACATCATTACTAGTTACTTCTCTTTTTCATAAGTACAAGAACTAGTAACACAGGAAGTTATTCTTTTCCCAACCCTATTCAGCAATTATCTTTTTAGCCATACTTAGATGCAGTAGCCAATATGAGGTACTTGCAAACTAATCCAGAAATGAGATGCATCAGCAACACTGTTTACACAGATGTTAAATCCAGTCAAGATCAACACAACCGATTCACCGAAAATGTGCCAAGTATTGGAACTTGTCTTTTTAGCTGAGTTGATTTCAAAATGTGAATAAATGCAGGTAAATAAATCTGAAAGCTTCTTGGGCATGTCTCTGTGGGCTCATTTACATTTGCTTCTTTGATTTTAGTTAGCCCAATTAAACTGGAGAATTGTAGAAGTGTGCTTATATCTTTCCTAGATGTTGTGTTGCTTAGGTATATGTAACAAATGTGTAAGAACATTTTCCCTCCCATCTTTAATAAATGCTTCTACTTCAGCACAGTGATATGCTCATCTACTGCAGACGTACAAGAGCTTCACTATAAACAAGCCTACGCTTCTGCTTTTGAAACAAGAGTGCTCCCCAAATTGATAGTGTCCACATGGTCTAAATATTGCCAATATGTTGGTTCCTACTATCATATAAACTAATATATATCAATTGGGGTTTTTTTTTTATCACATCTGCTTCCAAAACAATGGGTGAAAATGAAAATATTTTTATTGGGAGAAAATATTGTATTTGTTTTCAGTTTCATTTATATCTCCTTTGTAATTAAATGTAAAGCTTCTCAGAGAGAAACTTATTTGGGAATCACTTGTTGCTCAATCATGAAATCCTGTAAGGCTCACTCCCAGGTAAGAAAGCCTATGCAAACAAAGTCCTGGCCACCAGAAAGTTCAGCCAAACACCTTTACTAAAATGTATCAGATACATAAAATTTGAGACAAGTTTCCACATCATGGGGATTAACAACTGTTAGCCTTGATGGCAATGTGACTGCGTTCGAAGGCCATCTGCTGGGCTTCCTTGTACAGCTGGTTGGCCAGTGTGAGAGCACACTGCTGGACTCATTGGGCCAGGTTTGATCCAATAGGACTCTGCTCATATTCTTAGGACCCCTTTAAAACTGGAAGGCCCTGTAGCTAAGTGAAAAATACCACTAAGTCAAAGAGAGAGGAAATTTATTTAGAATCAAGTTCCACCTAGGCCAGGGGTCTGCAACCTTAAACACGCAAAGAGCCATTTGGGCCTATTTTCCCACAGAAAAGAAAACACCAGGAGCCACAAAATCCTTCCTGTGCCTGACTATTTCTAACGGCCACAAAACTAGCATATGTAGTTGAATTAAACCTTCTGTTTTCTTCTGAAACTTTTCTTTTCTTGGATTTATCCATGGTTGGTCTACCGGAGGTTGAAAAGCTCAATAAATCGCGTGCTGCAGGTGTCGCACATTGGCGGTTGTGACACATATTTTGAGTGACAGGGAGCCGCAGCAGAGGGGTGAAAGAGCCACATGCGGCTCCAGAGCCGCAGATTGCTGACCCCTGACCTAGGCCATTACCACCTAAATCATTTTATAGCATTTGTAGCATCATCCAACACTGTTCATGAAGACAGACTTTATATTAGCACAACAGCTGGGGGATGCTACACAATGCTATAATTTAGGGCTTCCTTTCAAAGCCCATCAGTTAAAGACCAGGGAATTAAGGCTATTGATGATCCTCAACAAAAAAGCAAATTCATGTCCTTTTCTGAATCTCTTCCCCTTTTGATGAAAATACACTAGACATTTTCTGAAGGTACAGAATTGACTAGTCAGCGAAGAAACCACTGGGAGCTCCTTCCCCCCCCCAGCCCATCCAACAGACCATATAACCTCTGGAAGGGGTGGGCTTCTTGGGTCCGGTTGACCAATCCCGTCCCTAGCTGGAAGTCTTAACCTCTTACCTTGATCTGTTATGGACCTAATTCCCAAGATGTCAGTGACGGAATGAGAGGAGGGCCAGGTCCGAGGCATGTGGACGGCGCTGTGGATCGTCGGCACGCCAGGTGGGGTAGGCACCTTGGCACCTGCTGCAGCTATGGGGCTGGGATAAGAGTAGATGTGGTTGTAAGGCAGGGCCGGCTGCGGAGCCGCCTGGTGCTGCTTGTAAGCCTCGTAGTGATTCTGCTGAGAAAGGTTTCCAATCTTGTTGCGCAGAATCCGGCTAATGGAACTGACAGAGGGGACGTTGTATTTGTCGCACACGCCGTCGGCCAGCAGCCGGTCCCGGATCTCCCAAGCAAAAATGCCCGGATCCCTTTGTTTGTAAGTCCGAATGTGCTTCACGACCGTTGGCGTGGTGACCCGCGGCTTGCTCCCTCCGATGGCCCCGGGTAAGATGGAGCCGGTCTCGTTGTAGCGCGCCAGGATCTTGCTGACGCAGCCATGGGAGACGCGCAGCTGCCGGCTGATGTCGCACGGTCGGATGCCCAGTTGAGCTAGTTCCACAATCCGAAGCCGGATGGCGTTGGGCAAAGGGCGGCCGTTGACGAAGACCCCGCCGAGCTGGTTGACCTCACCGAAGGCTGGCTCTGCAGACAAAGAGAAGCAGCGGCACGTTGGAAGAGGCGCCCGGAGTCTGGCCAGACTCAGCCGGGCACAGTCACCCTGGAACAAGGGCAGGGGAGGGAGGGACATCGGACTGCGAAACGTTCGAGGCGCGTCTCCTTCCCGGGGAAGGCTGGGGTTGAGGTTGGGCTGCTCGCCGCTGCCTGGGAAGCAAGTTCGGCCGAGATCCCGCGGCCTTTTTACTCGTAGTAAAGGCGCACCTAGCTACTAGCTGCCGCCTTAAGGAGTTCGCCCTTGCAGGCTTCTTCTACTCGCGGGCGCTCCGGCCCTTGAATTTCCCGAAGGACTTCCTCCCTGAGTGCAGCCGGCAAGGAGCAGGCGGTTTCGGACAGCAGCCACAGGCGAATATCCCTACCAACCTCTTCCCGAGCCTCGCAGGGCCCGGAGCCCGCACATTTCCCGCATTTCGAGAGGAAGCCACTCCAGACCATTCACCCGGACTCACTCGCGGGATTGGGGGCGGGAGGGGGGGGGGCGTAGGACAGCCGAGGACCGAGGCGTTCCTTGGAAAGCGGTCCAGCTGAAAACTGAGCTTAGGACTGCTTAGTCAACGCCGTTGGGGCGGCCAGCTTCCTTCTCCTCTCGAAGGTGGCGCGTTGACGAACTAGAAAAGCAGAGCGCCTAGGAAACAGGCAGCCGGGAAAGTTGAATAACCCCGCAGAGAAGTGGGAAGCGGCCCCTCCGATTGCGGGGACTGCTTTCTTCCCCCTCCAATCAGCCAGGAATGCTTTCCCCGCCGAAATACAACCAGCTTTCAGGCGGAGAAGGGAAAAGTGAGAGAGTCCAGAAGCCTGGGGTCGATCGGATGACCTCCCCCACCCCTTCCCCCCCTCCCCCATACTTTGGCCTCTCTTTCTCCAGCACTGGCGCTTCTGCAGCTGCCGCCACCGCCGCCGTTGCTTCTTAACGCCTTTTCCCCAACAAGAGTCGGAGCCACAAGCAAAGCCAGCCGGGCGCCCGGTTGCCCACCCGCGCCCGTCTTAACTCCCCCCCCCCGGCCCGGTCCAGCACGCGACGCCTCTCCAGCAAGACCACTTACCCATGGTGTGACTCAGGACGGCGAGCAGGGTGCGTGGAGATCCCCGGAGGAAACTCGGCGTGGGATGGGTCTTGCCCGGCTCGCCGGGATCGGCTCCGAAGAAGGCCCCGGCTCGCTCGGATTCCTACCGCGGGAAAAGGCGAGAATGTCAAGAAAAAGAAAGCCAAGGAAGTCACTTTTCCGAGGCAGGAGACTTAAGTCCCGCATTTCAATCTCGCAGCAACGTGGGCTGGGCTGGGTCGGTTGGGGCGTCTCAGGCTATCACTCACCAAAGACACGCCCCTTAGAAGGTGGACCTAAAAGGAAACGCACCCCCCGGATTGGTAGGCCAGAGTGACAGACAGTCTCACCCTGGAAGGGGCTTCCGTTCGCTTTTGCAGACAAGCTGGATCAGCACCTGGGTTCCATATGCAACGGCAGCGCTCAAGAGATGGGAAAGCTGAATTGCGGGAGGCCATAAGTTGGAGGAAATCTAATAGCAGAACGTGGAAAATGTATTAACAGGATGAATGGCCGCTCAAGGCGGTTTTATTTTCACAAAAGGGACTCACCTTAGTTCTGCTTTCAGCGCCAGTAGTTAGATGTCGAATTAAATTTTCAGGAAGACACACTGACCCTGGGGGGGGGGGGTTTCGTTCCTCATTTTAGAAAACAGAAATCATAGTTCCTGAGAAATCATATTTTCCCATTTTAGAAAAGCTGCTTTTGTATTTCTCCAAGAAAACACGGCTCTATTTCCGCCTGGCATTATTTATCATTAGTAGCAGCAGCCACTGTAAAAAAAAGAAGGAGGAGGCAAGAGATCTAGACCCAGAAGAAGGCTAGCAGAGAGGCGGGTGTTGATGGAAACCAGTCGAGTTTAGCTGTCAGAAATCGAATACCTGGGTTGCTCATCTACAGACAAGTTAATCACGCAAATGTGCGTGCTGACTTTTGCAACACAACCACCAGGCCGCAAAACAAACGCGCTTTTCCTGCCCCGTGAAAGACTTGGACGGCGAATGTAACTGGATTTTAAATGGAATGGTTTCTTTTTTGCGTCATTCGGACCGCAGCCGACGAAAACCTTTAGAAGAAATCAACCTCGCCCAAGGAACACAATGACACGTTACTAGCGGTGGGAGGGGTGGGATGGTCTCTTGCGCACTCGCAGCTCCCGATGTATTGTACAAGATCCAAGAACGAGAAGTCTTGTCCACTTGTAACTGTCTCCTCTTAATGTGGGCCTGTGTTGTAACACTCCATCCAGCATGAAAACCTTGCATGAAAACAGTGTAATAGAAGCTTCTTTGCTTTTTAAGCTTTTGGGCTCAACTATAGGATCTTTGCGAAGTTAGATGTGGGTCGGGATAATGCGCAGGGTATTGGCATCTGCGCAGACACATCCCCCGCTCGGACATGTTTTCTGGACTTTCCTAGTTAAGGAGAGAACCGATCCGCCACCAGATCCTTTAGTCGCTTTTTCGTCAAAGAACGTGTTTAAGAGCCGGTGGGCAATTTCACCTGAAACATTCGGTCGAAGCGTGAAGGGCAGAAAATTAAAAACTTCCAGCAAGAAAAGTGAAGGGGGGGGGACGGGGGCGATTCCCACCAAGGCCGCTTTCCGAGTGTAAGGCTCCTTTGAGGGACGAAGCTGGTTCCACAAAGCTGGTTCCTACACGGTGGTTTAGGACTGGAATAGTAGCCAGCGCTTGAATTCTGCACGCAGCGCGCTTAACATGAATGACTGGGATCCCTAAACATGAAAGGAATGGCCTGGACCTCGCTTCGGGAGGAATTAAAACGGAGGGGATCTCTGTCTGCAGGGGAGAAACTGATTCAAAACTCAGGCAGGGGATATTGCATAAGAACGAATTGGGGACGCCAAAGTTGCGCTCGGAAAGGAGGGTTGAGACCGCTTACAGACTAGCGCTCCTGTTCCAATCGGAGAGATTTTTCATTGGGCTCAGAAAATAGAACTGGCCGTACAAAACGCAACCCCGCTTTTAAAGAGGGCCAAGTACCAGCCATTCTCTTATAAGATAATTGCAATGGGCCCAGGTATTTGGGGCTAAGTGGGGGTGGGGGAAATGTAACCAAGCGATTTGCCTTTGAAGCAGCAACAAGGTGTTTGTGAAGGAGTTAACCTTGTAATCTGGCAATTACATCGCTTGGGAAATTCCTTCCGATTGGGAAGGGATCATTATGTCATTGCGGAGTTTCTGCGGAACGCACTAGACTAAGGCTGGCTCGAATGTCGATTGAATATTGCCATTTAACAGCAAAACCTGAGTCAACTATTATAGAACTAATATCGGAGTCTGCTCTACAACCAGCCACGTGGGGGGGGGGCGAGAATGGTTTCTTTCTCCCCCTCCTTCATTCTTCTTCATTCTTTCAATCCATCAAGTGGAAGTCAGTCCGTGGCGACTCAAAACTCAAAAAAAAAAAAAAAAAGCTTTGAAAAAATTACTTAATTCTAATTAGTGGATTTAGAATCAAATCGAGGAGGGTTGGTTCAGCCAGGGTTGGGTGACGCCCCGTTCCTTTCAGCATAAATTTGTCGGCTGCTTGTCATATTGAGAGTCGCTGAAACACCTTGAAATTCTCACGTTTCGCCTGAACCGGGTTCTGTCAGAGCCCCCCCCCCACCCAGCACTCCCACTCAAGTCGGTCAGGGGCGAAGCTCTTTGACCCTCTTGCTCGTGAGGTCCGGCTGATGCTCTCGACCCTGATCCCTTCCTCCCGGGTAAATGTTAGGGGCGCTGTAAGGGACCTTCTGGTCAAGACCCACGATTGTCTTTCCATCGGACCCCCCACATTCTTCTCTCGGACTGTTTTGGGGGAGTTACGCACTGGAGAGGAGAAGGCTTACCAATGGGACTGCGGGGGGGGGGAATGCTAGGGTCTTAATCATTCACAGCCGCTCCTGTTCATCTTTTCGACGAATTTAGTCCGCTGGATTTCCAGCCATTCCTTCCTTTCCAGTCCAGGCAGCAGGCCCACGGACAAGCTCCGTCCAACCCCTTGGCCTGGATTATCATTTCAGCTAGGATTGAGATCTGCGCACCGACAGGATGGCTGCCTTAATGCGAACCTTGGCGTTCGTTCTTTTTTAAAGCACAAATTGTTTAGATTTGAAATTGACTCCAAAGAGAGAATCCCCAGGAAGCTTCAGCCGTCCAATACAATATCGGTCTTGGGCGACGTGGTCCTGGTTAGGTCAGAAGACAAGGGATTTCTGGCAATCTGAACATCCCAAGAGATTCGAGTTTGACTTGCAGCCCTGTTCCGCTTTAGATCCTGATCTCTTCTTTCCAGTCCACCCCCGTTCTCGCCGTGCCTCCGAGCATCTTTGAGGTAGTGTTGTCGGGTCGGATCTTACTTCGGGGGGCCTTCCGCTCCGCCTCTGGCTCATTTTCCCCTCAAACTTGCAGCTCCCTCTCTTCTCCTCTCTTCCTCTCCCAGCTCCACCTCCCCCGTCTCGGGCTCTGTTTCTCGGGCCTTTTTCTCAATGTGTGTTCCTGATGTGATTCTGTCGGAAAAGCTCGTTTACTCTGCCCAGGTCCCCAGTGGTTGAAGGATAATGTTTATCAGGGTTGAACGTGCTCAAGTTGTTTCCACTGAACTGCTGAGCGGAGGCTGAAATAACAAAGGTCACATCCACAGTCTGTCGGGCGAGGACGAGGGGAGCCGAGACCAATAAGAACCAACGTTGTAATTAACAACAGCCTGTCGATCGCGCTGACCTGCCTGGCAAAAAGATTAATTTCAGGTACAGAATAATGGAATAATTGGAGGTAGAGAAGAAGGAGGAGCTGAAAAGGAGGAACGGGAGGGGGTTGCTCGAGGGAAAGAAGAGGGGGGTTTCCCCCTCAAATTTTGAAGAGTAAAAATGGACACACCATCCTTGTTGAATTATTCTAGGCTGGATTTTCAAGCCTGGAGACAATTTGGCTTGGGAAGGCATAATGAAGTCAGAGGGTCTCCTTGACACAGATCTTTTCTTCCCATGCTAACAAAAACATCAGGAGCAGGAGAACCAGGTTAGGCCTTGAGGGTCGATAAATAAAATAAACGGCAAGCCGTTCTGAGCTAGATTTAAACCCCCCCCCCAAACTGGTCTGGCAGTTAAAGAGCGCTGAGCGGCCCCCGGGAAACCCTGAAGGTGAATGTCAACCAGACGGTCTCCCAAGAAAATCTGGAATCCCGCTCCGTGAAGTTCAGTGGGAAAAGGCGGGGAGAGGTGGAACTATCCAAGTCCCCCTACCTATCAGCTTTATTTGGGGTTTCAATTCACATGCTGGTTAGAGATTGTGACAATTAAAGCCCAAATGTGTTTTGAGAAGACGTTGGGGGGGGGAGGGACTGGTCTTATTCGCTCCAGTAAAATCTGACCTTCTGGATGGAAGGAGGAGAAGTGGGAAAGACAGCAGCTCTGGAGAACGCAGCCCAGATGAGAACTGCAAAGCATTCTGTGCAAATGACTTCATTGAAAGCGTAACTTCAAGGAATGCCCTGACAACGTTGATGCAATTTCTCCCTGTGGAAAACTATGCTGGACAAGCAGCCAATTAAAGATGCCACCTTAGATGTATTTGCGTTCGGCAGAAACCTCAACGGGACCTTTTTCTAAGGGGGAATAAACAAAGGATTGAGCTATAAAGCAAAAGTTTCTGGTTTTTTATAAACTGTTTGCCTTTCCGCTAGTTTATTGGTCTGGTTCATGAATCCTTCTCTGATTATTCTAACAGGTCTCTCCTCCTCCTCCTCCTCCTCCTCCTCCTCCCCTCCTCCTCCCCCTCCTCCCTCTCCCCCCCCTCCTCCTTTCTCCTCCATCGCTACCTCGGAAGCATTTTGCTAAGAATCTTGCTCTGAGAAGTAAAATCAAAGGGGGGATGATGGTACATCTTAGCCAGTACTGATTTCGGAACGATTCAGCAGATCCTCAGAGGATTTGTAATACTCAGCAGCTCTGAAATGAATCGGCCCCAACAGTGTTTAGGATGGTAGCAGTTTTGAATGTCATTGGGGCTTATATTTCAATGGAGCGAGTCCGGTTTCTCAGTTTTATTCAACTGAATCCCAGGTGCGGGATCGGGGTGGGAGGGAAATCTTGTTTCTTATGTAGACAAGTCACATTCCAAACGAGTAAACAGAACGGAGCCAGCAGATAAGATGAAATTTTAAAACAAATTTAAACAAATAATTATCTCTCCTTTTATAACTGTAAACCGAAATG